AACACCTAAATATGTAAAACAAATACTAACAAAATTAAAAGGTAAAATAGATTGCAACTCATTTGCTTTAGGAGACTTTAACACTCCACTCACATCAATAGATCAACCAGACAGACAATAATGGAACAGAGGCACTGAACAATACCTGAAGTCAGATGAACATTAGGTCAGATGAACTTCTGTCTACAGAACATTCCACCCAAAACCAGCAAAATATACCTTTTTCTCAAGTGATCAAGGAATGTTCTCCAGAATAGATCACATACTAAGCCACAAAAAGAGCTTCAATAAATTTAAAAAGATTAAAATTCTATCAAGCAACTTCTCAGACCACAATGTACAAAACTAGAAATAAATTACACAAGGAAAGCAAAAAGCCTGCATACACATGGAGGTCAAACATGTGTCTAAATAATCAATAGATCAGTGAACAAATTAAAACAATTCAAGGAATACATGGACACAAATGAAAACCAAAATATAATAGTCCAAAATCTCTGAGACACCACAAGAGTTCTAAAAAGGAAGTACCCAGCAATACAGGCCTACCTCAAGAAGCAGGAACAATCCCAAACAAACAGTCTAAACTGACAATTAAAGAAATCAGAAAAAGAATAATGATATCCAAAGTTCGTGGAAGGAGGGACATAATACAGATCATAGCATAAATAAATAACAGAATGAAACAGAAAAATTAACAAAACCAAGCACTGGTTCTTTGAGAAAATAGATAAACCCCTAGCCAGACTTATCAAGAAAAAAACAGAAGAGAGTACACACATGAACAAAATCAGAAATGAAAAAGGAATAGTCACAATGGATACCACAGAAATACAAATACTTATTAGAGAATTCTATGAAAAATTATACGTCAATAAACTGGACAACCTATAAGCAATGGACAAATTCCTAGAAAAATACAACCTTCCCAGACTGACCCAGGAAGGAACAGAAAATCTGAACAGACCAACTACCAGCAATGAAATTAAACTGATAATCAAAAAACTAACAATCAAAAACCCAGGACCTAATGGCTTCACAGCTGAATTCTACCAAACATTTAAAGAGAGCTAATACCCACACCCTTCTTAAAGTATTCCAAAAAGTAGAAGAGGAGGGAATACTTCCAAACTCATTCTGTAAGGCCAGCATTACTCTAATACCAAAACCAGGTAAAGGGACTACAAAAAAAGAAAATTATATACCAGTATCCCTGATGAACATAGATGCAAAAATGCTCAACAAAATATTAGCAAATCAAATTAAAAAACACATCAAAAGAATCATCCATCATGATCAAGTGGGAATTTATTCCAGGGATGCAAGGATGGTATAATATTCGTGAATCAATCAGTGTGATACACCACATTAACAAAAAGGATAAAAATAAGAAGTACATGATCACCTCAGTAGATGCTGAAAAAGCATGTGACAAAATCCAACATTTAGTCATGATAAACTCTCAACAAAATGGGTATAGAGATTACGTACCTTAACATAATAAAAGCCACATATGACAAACCCACAGGTAACATTATACTCAATGGTGAAAAGCTGAAAGATTTTCTTCTAAGAACAAAAACAAGACAAGTATGTCCACTTTCACCACTTATTCAACATAATACTAGAGGTCCTAGCCTAGCAATCAGACAAGACAAATAGAAGGTATTCAAATTATTAAGAAAGAAGTTAAACTCCCTATTTGCAGACATATTATACATAGAAAACCCTAAAGACTCCACCAAAAAACTATTAGAATAAATGGATCCAGGAAAGTTGCAGGATACAAAATAACTACACAGAAATCTGTTGTGTTCCTATATACTAACAACAAACTAGCCAAAAGAGAAATCAAGAAAACAATTCCATTTACAGCTACACCAAAAATAATAAAATACCTAGGAATAAACCTAATAAAGGAGGTGAAAGACCCACTCTGAAACACTCATGAAAGAAGACACAACTAAATGGAAATCTATCCCACGCTCATGGATAGGGAGAATTAATATTGTCAAAATGGCCATCCTGCCCAATTTACAGATTAAATGCAATCCCTATCAAAATATCAACAGCATTCTTCAAGGAACTAGAACAAATAGTTCTAAAATTCATATGGAACCTTTACAAAGGACCCTAAGTAGTCAAGCAACCCTGAGAAAGAAGAATGAAGCTGGGGGGATTACGCTCCCTGACTTTAAACTATACTATAACGCTATAGTAATCAAAATGGTATGGTACTGGCACAAGAAACAGACTCATAGATCAATGGAACAGAATAGAGTGCCCAGATATAAACCCATGCATATATGGTGAATTAAAATATGAGAAAGGAGTCATGAATGTACAACAGGGAAAAGACAGCCTGTTCAATAGGTGGTGTTGGGAAAACAGGACAGCTACATGCAAGAGAATGAAACTGGATTCCTGTCTAATTTCGTACACAAAAGTAAACTCAGAATGGACCAAAGACCTGGATGTAAGACATGAAACTATAAAATTCTTAGAAGAAAACATAGGCAAAAATCTGTTCAACATAAGTATGAGCTATTTTTTTCCTGGACACATTTCCTCACACAAGGGAAACAAAACAAAAAATGAACAAGTGGGACTACACCAAAAAAGCTTCTATACAGCAAAGGACACCATCAGCAGAACAAAAAGGCAAGCTACAGTATGGAAGAATATATTTGTAAATAATTATTTGGATAAGGGGTTAATATCCAAAATATATAAAGAGCTCATACACCTCAACACCAAAAAACAACCCAATTAAAAAATGGGTGGAGTACTTGAACAGACATTCCTCCAAAGAAATACAGATGGCCAACAGGCACATGAAAAGATGCTCCTCATTGCTTATCATCCAGGAAATCCAAATCAAAACCACACTGAGAAGCCACCTCACACCAGTCAGAATGTCTACTATCCAAAATACTAGGAATAACAAGTGTTGGCAAGGATGTGGAGAAGAGGGAGCCCTCCTACACTGAAAAGGGAACTGGTGTAGCCACTGTGCAAGCAGTATGGAAGTTCCTCAAAAGACTAAAAATAGAAATACCATTCAACCCAGTAATTCCACTTCTAGGAATCTACCCAAAGAAAACAAAACCTGATTCAAAAATATATACCAGCCCTATGTGTATTGCCATAGTATTTACAATAGCCAAGATATGGAAGCAACCCAAGTGTACGTCAATAGATGAATGGATAAAGATGGGGTACATGTACACAATGGAGTTTATTCAGCCATTTAAAAAAAAACCCTGCCATTTGTGACAACAGAACAGTATGACAACCTAGAGGGTGTTATACATGAAATAAGCCATGTGATTTCACTTATATGTGGACTCTAAACCCAAAGTAAACCAAATGAACAAAATAGCAGTGGCTCATAGACACTAAGAAGTGACTGGTGGCTACCATGGGGAAGGGATTGGGGTGGGTTGGGGGGAGGGTAAGGGGCATAAATGGGGACAAAAACTCTCAATTATAATATAAGTTGGTCGCACATAAGTTGGATGGTAATACACAATGAAGAATACAGTGAATGATTCTGTAACATCTTCCTACGTTGACAGACAGTAACGGCACTAGTGGACGATCTAGTAATGTGGGTAACTGTTGAACCACTGTGTTGTATACTGAAGCCACCTTAAGGTTGTATACCAATGATACTTCGATAAAAAAAAAAAAAAGAGCAGTTCAGGGGCCAGCAGGGACCAGGCCACGATGCACTCAGGTCTGCTGACTCTGTGGGCTGCCTCCTTGGTTTGAGAGTTTAGTGCCATCACCCCAGTGGGCTCCTCAGGATAGATGGTGGGGCCCGTGAGGATTATTTTCAGGTCTCCCAACTGAGTGGAATTCATCTACCTAGGCTGCAGACTTGTTTGCGACCCATGTCGCTTTTTCCTTCTGATTTTTCTCCTTTCTGAAATGGAACTGTCTATGGTCCTGCCCTACCATTGTACTTTTGAAGCAGGTAGGTAGTCTGCTTTCACAGGCTCACAGATCAAGAGGAATTTTGCTCCACCATTAATCATACCCTGCATCTTAGCCATAATTAACTTACATGAGATTTGAGTTGATGCTGTTATGATTTAGATTTTGGGAGATATTGGGCTGGGGTGAATGTATCTTACGTATAGCAAGGGTATTTTTAGGGACCAGAGGACAAATTGGTAAAGGTTTGTGTGCCCCCAACCCCCAAGAATTTTGAAGTCCTAACCTCCAGTTCCTCAGAATGTGACCTTAGAAATAGGGTCTTTACAGAGGTAATTAAGTTAAAATGAGGCCACTAGGGTGGATCCTAATCCAGGATGACCAGTGTCCTTATGAAAAAGGGAAGCACACACCGGGAAGACACGTGAAGTTTTGCTGCCACAAGCCAAGGAATGCCTAGGGCTACAAGCGGCCGCCAGAGGCAAGTCCGCCCCTGCAGGTCTCAAGAGGAAACTCGGCCTTGTCAATACTTCCAGACTTCGAGCCTCCAGGGCTGAGACAGCAAATCTCTGAAGTCATGTAAGTCACCCAGTTTGTGGTACTGTTACAACAGCCCCTATTGTTGAACACGTAGAGCTCACTTTTGGTTAATATAGATGTATTAGCACATCTGCAATCATTTCCACAGGATTAATTCCTAGATAATAGTTAATTCCTGGGTCAGAGGCTATACAAGGTTCTAAAGCTTTTCACTTGCGTTGCTAAACTGCCTTCTATGTAAGGGTTTTGATTTAAATGATCTCCAGTACAATGGAAGTGACCATTCCTTACGCTGTTGACAGTAGGCTTTGTTTTGATCACTCAATTTCTGATTTGGGTAATCAAATATCCTGAAAGGTATACCAGCACACGCTGGGTAGGACATTATAGACTTACATCCTGGAAAGATCTCATGCCAATGTTTCTAGGTTAGTCTGTGCTTGACCTAGAAAGTAATCAACTCAAAACAAGAGCAACAACTGAGAACACGGTGTGTTCAGGAGCAGATCTGGACAAACCAGTCACAGTGGAAATAAATATCAGCTTTATTAACACTCAGAAGTGCCATTCATTTATATTCATTCCATAGTCCAGAAGGTTACTTAAAGTAAGCCTTTGCCCCACAATCTTTCAAAAAATGAACTAACATATAAGAAAAGCAATTTTCATTGTGCTAATTATTGCAGGCCTTCATGCACAATAAATCTAAACAAAGATGTGTGCCAACAATATACAAATTTCCATATAAACAAAGTCATTGATCACTAACAAAATATAAACATGGTTTTTTCACATAAGATTTTTTTTAAAAAAACCTATTTACCAGCAAGAAAAAACAAGTACATAAAAATTATAAAACTCAGAGATTTTATACATTTTTACAAGCACAATTTTGAATGAACAACACAAAGTCAAAATGTGCATGAAATGTGGCAAGTACCACACTGTATCTGGCTTCTGGTAAGTTTTTCTAATCACACCGGCTCCTTGTAACATAAGCTAGTGACATTCAACTTCAACAGTGGACTTCACTCCTAACACAAGTAATTTTACAAGGTACCGCATATTAAAAACAAGGTTTCCCCTAAGTACAGTAACACTGTCAGATTGGAAAGTCAATTTCCAATTCTTGTTCTGCCAGTTACTTAAAATACACAGTACAGTATAAAGACACAATATTGTATGTTTGGATATTTCTAAACCAATTTATAGTCAATTACAGAGGAACACAATATGTCAATGAACTGTTTTGTAAATGGGTCTGACTTTGCCCAGTAAGATAAAAACTACAAGTTGAAATCTTGGGGGTAGAATAAAGGAAGTATTCAAAAACAAAAGGACAAGCCAACAGCAACTGGATTATATCTCCAGCTGGAAAAATCTTGACATCTCTACAAGACAATTTACTTGCTTACATTTTTCTATAGCTCTGAGAAGTCAAAGCCACTTTAGTGGACAGTATGTTTTGCTACTGCTTAAACTTATCTTTTCCTCTTAATATGCATTTCATAGAACCTTCAAAAGAGAATTCAATATCTTCCTTGTAAGAGCATTTTAATTGATATCTGAGTAAATCTGCATCCAATTCTGGGAATACAAATACATTCTGAATGGTTAAAAACAAAATTAAAAAAATATTTTTCATCAGCCAGCTGAAAATATATTCATATAGTAAATAATCTCTCAGAAAGCTTTAACATATATTTAATTATTCTAACTAAACAGTACCCTTATAAAACAAGTTCATAAAAATGTAGAAATGAAATGAAAATAAGAAGTTACTGGGATATATATACATGTGCCTACAAACAGAGACAGACATCTCCACACACACACATTCCAATATGCAATATTACAAGCACACTTGCAACTTAGCCATGAGTTTTAGAATACATATACAATCAGAAAGTGATGTTGAACTCCTGAGTTCTTCAAGAAAGAGAGAACCATAGGTAAGTATACTTTGTGAAAGCAAGAAGAGCCATTTAAATCAGTAATAGCAGTGCAGGTACTGATGGCTACATCTTGGAAGAAGTTAAAACACAGACAGACAGTAGTTCAACGCACGCATTCAGGATGTTCATCACCCATTAACAATTATTGGTCAGAGTAGTAAGTCAGTGTACAAATTAAACATTTCCAAAAATGTGCAAAAAAGTCAACCTTGATAGGAAATACATAATTATAAACTGTCCAGCAATCAACTAAGATTAAAAACATTTACAGAGAGAAACTAATAGATTAAATATAAAGAATTTAATGGTTACATTTAAAAATGTACATTAAGTCAAAGGGTAACTTTACAAATTGATAATTATAGTTTGCAACGATTCAAAGTTTATTCTCAAATTTATCCAAGTTTACTCTTATTTACAATGATATCTGAATAAAAAAAGAACCATGTGAAATGTAAGAGATGTCAGACATTAAAAGTATTTTTGGTATTAATTCTTTTATAATATTTCAGAAAGCAGGGTAGCAAATTTTAAAACCAATAGCAATAGAAAAAATGTAAACCTTTTACTTACTAATTAAGATTGTATTAAAAACAATTGTTCTTAGAGTATTCTTATTCTTAGATGCACTTTTTACCAAACAGGGTGTGTTGCAAGGGTTGGGCCCACTTTCTTTCCAGCTCAAATGTTTCCACTAGTCCTTTCTCCTTATTCCAGGTGGAAAAAAGTCTTTGGGAAAAGGAAATTATATCAAATCCATTTTGGAGCCTAAATACCTGACAGTTTTAAGACGTGATTTTGTTGTTTCTCTCCCCCTTCCAAGTAATGCTAATGACAAAATCACCACTAGTTACTTACACTTTTAAAAATCAATTCTAAAAAAATTTGAAGTGAACACAAAAGTGCTTTTCAGTATAGTCACAAACTTTACTGTTTAAAACTGGCATTAAGGGGCTGAGAAGTTATTTGGGGACAAATTCTGCATGCATACTGGAGAGCAGACTCTTCCGTAATGTTTCAAAATGTTTATGGCACAAAGCAGACATCAGTCCATAACCTATTTTTCTTCACAGCTTTCCTGAAATGCCCCTCAAGTCAAATACAAGTTCATAAATGTAAAGACACTAGGAAGAAAGTACACCACAACCTGAGGCATCATATGTCAATGTGTATGTATATGCACCTACGGTCAAGGACATTTAAGATTGGCACGTGTACAAGCTCAAGTTCATAGTGTCTATGTAGTTCCATAACAGCTGAAGTAAATTCTGCATGTCTAAATGCACACACTGAACACCTGTCTTTTACTGGAAGGGTAAACTGAGATACTCCTAGTGCCTGCTTTATCATTTCTATCCTATTCAGCTACACGTGGGCAGAAGTAACAGTGCTATTAATTTGGCTATGTGTGCAGGGAATATACAAGCTTTGGTTTAAGTGATTCTGATAATACAGATTGCAAATACAAACAAGTCATCCGGCACAGGGAATAACAGTACTAACTTAATGCCTTTGCTATTATTAACAAAAATATTACTGTCAATTAAAATGCACAACTATGAAAAATACAGATTATGTAAGAGACTGTATACAGGCAACAGATAACATCTGTTCCCTTCTTTACTATAGCTGTTGAGTCCTCCCTTAACTTTCTGAAACTAAACTGGGAAGGTCCTCTAGGCCCGAGAGCCTATGGCCACCTACAGCCTGAATGGCAAGCACAGACGGCTGGCCTTGCTGCTTCCCACACCTCATGTGGCATCTGTCCTGACAGTGGCACATGCCAAAGCACAGCTAAAGGCAACTTAAGAAGGAGCAGTGCCTTCCCAGCCAACCAAAAAGAGGTGTAAGACAATTTCCTTGTGAACACTTGGTAAGCTAAGGAAGCCTGTTCTGATAATGTCCGGCAGAATTTCTATTCCAAAGAGTTCATGAAGTATGCAAAATCAGTTACTTCCTATTTAAGAATTATATATAAGCTCTTTATATACACAGATACAAATTCCATTTTAATCTACTTTTAGGAACCAAGAGCTTGGCAATTTACAATAAATACCTTTATTAAACAATCATTTGTACTAGCTACCTGTGGGGAATGAGCTGGCATTCCTATCCAAGCGTGATGACACCCATCCCTCATCAGTTGGCCATAAACACATCTGCGTTGCTCCTCCGAGAACAGACACTAACCAATTGAACATTCACACTTTTTCTTTCCTTTCCGTGCCTATCCAACTCCAAACACAGACGCACAGACACGGACACACACACTTCACAAAAAAGCTAGAGTTTTAGTCAAAATGCTAGTTAAAGAAGTTAAGTTTTAGAATTCACTCCCTGGATCTCTTACGCACTGACTTCTGTCTCATTATTGCCTTAGCAGTAAATCACTTAAATCACCTCTATAAGGGCAGAAACCACCCTTCCAGCTCTGTATCAAAGTCACAACTGAACAGTGACATGCAGAGAATCTCACCACCATCAAGGTGACTGAAATTAAGTCATCAACCTGGAGAACAGTTTACTAGGTCTCTTTAGAATCAGAATACTTTTCTATCCTTATCTTGGGAATTTGTGTCTAGTGGAGATTGCAATATGTCTATCACAGAATAATGCTGATGTTTTCCTTCCAACATTAAAAAAAAAAGTAGAAAAGGGTAGGAGGAGGAAGCAGGCATTAAGAAGCCGGGCCAGTACAGTCTGAGGCCAAATGAACTCTTGAAGCCTACTGATTTTGGAAAAACCTTCAATTCAGTGGATAACTTGAATTATTATTGATACAAAATAAAATTAAGGCATACAGAGAAAAAGGCACTACCAAAAATGAACTAAATTGCTTTTCATTAACATTTAACCAATCTCAAAATTCAAGTAGATATGAACATTACTTTTGTAATAAAGGCAAACTTAATTGGTCTTAATGGGTCCCAACAATAAAGTCTCAAGAATATCCTGATCTTGGTATAAACAACATATTGACAGAATTCAATTTCCATCAAATGTTTTGTGTATTTTAACAATTTTGACCAAAAGAATGAACTTTTTTCTTCAAAAGAAACAGAAAAAAAAACTGTTATGGAATAAATGCCTCCCATCACTGGAACAATTTAAGCAGAGGCTGGGTTTTTAAGAGGGAGTCCTGAGAGAGGCTACTGATCCACGGGAGTCCCTCCAATTTGGGGATACCTTTAATTCCCTGTTGTTAATGACATTTTAGTTTATAAAAGCCAGTAGATTACTCAAAATTGCTTTCCCCTCACTTCATAAAAAATAAGAACATTTTAAAACACGCTTGCTGAACTTCTGGAGTTAAGGTGTGCCGTAAAGTAAGTACACACCTGCCCATGTTTCCTCCTAGACCGCGACCTCCTACAGAATAGGCTAATTCAGTACCTGACACAAGAAGCCCCAATTATTGAATAAGCAAATAAAAAAGATTCATCTTATTAAGGAAAAAAGTGATAGAATCCTATACTTAATTGACACCAGGTGATTTTATATGAAGCTATTGGTCCTCAGGCCCCAAATGAAATCATTGGCACAGGATTGCCACAGGCCAGAAAAATCTGGTGAACATCATGGCTTTTACATCCAAGTTCGGTCATCTCTTAAGAATAAGGCCATCCTTAGTCAGGTTTTATTTTCTTAGTGATGTCATATATCTCAGATCAACTCAATCTCAGAAATACTACAGACCAGACCAGACCTGACATATGTTAAGAAGTAGCAGAAAGCTACTCTAAAGAAATAATTCCACCTTTTTAATATAGTTTCTACAGGGAATAAGATAAAGATAAAAGGTCAATTTACTCTGATACACATTTTAATTTGTCTTTTACAGCTCAGCCTGTGCAGTAACATTTCAATCTCTTAAATACAAATTGAGGTTGTGCCTTTGAAATCTAACACAACAGTCTTTCACCATTTTTCAAGTTAGAAACATGTTTTGCTGAATAAGGAAAATTGAAAAAATTTCAAGATACTCATACTGAAAATTTCAGTGTGTATACTTTTAAATACATTTAAAATAATTGCCAACCATCAAATTTTTCATTAGTCATCAATATTTCTCAACCCTTTTATTCAGTACACATTGCGATGTAATAGATCTTACATTTGGTCCAAGTCCAAGCACAAGCGAAGCCATTGTGGGTCTCAGGCCTACGTAGAAAGGTATTTCCTGAAAAGCACGTAAGACTGCGAGTGAATCTTCTCCAGCACCAGAAGTCTGCCACTATCAAAGCAGAATGCATTTTAAAGGCACAAAGTCAGCAGTCTGGCCATTTTCCAGCCTCAGCAAAGAAACATTACAGTATAGAAGAATCAAGTTGTGCACTTAAAAAACAAAACACATTTAGAGTCACCTTAAAACAGTTCAAATTTCATTTGTTGATCCATACCATTCAGAAAGAAAAAATTGGAGTGTTATACACCTAACTGCCCCTAGTAAAGATGTTGCCTTTCAAAACATTCCTAAGTTTACTTTTGGTCTGCCATACCTCACCCCACTTCAAGCTTTTTTGTTCTAGTAGTTTTTATATATTAACTTTTATTGTGGCTTTTGGTACCTTTACATCTTATTTGAAATAAATTCATATCACATTTTATATAGTAACTCTGTAAACTATTAGTCTATTTTAAAGTCTTTACATAAAGAACAATACTTCCCCATATTTTTCTTATAAAACAAAGGTCTTCTGCAGCAGTGTTAAAGTAGTAGTTTCTTTTCAGATGATTTTATTTTCTATAGCATTAAGAAAAGAAAAACAGACTGAAAAGGCAAACAATTTTGCTTTGGGTTTCACAGTCTCTCGAGATTTCTCTCGGAAGAACAAACACGTCTCATACTCTGCACTGCTGACTACCCTGACAGACCAAGAATGAGCCAGAAGGGGATAACAACCACATACACACACAAAGGGAAAGTCCACTGGTACAGACACCATGGTCTTGCTCAAGTAGAAGAGATGTCCTCACTCATAAAAGATGAAGAAATTATTGTAATAGATCCACACCCTTGAAGACTGTATTTTAGTACAAGATTTGGCAGCTGATTTTCCTGGGGGAGGGGGCTACTGATTTGTACGCTTCCTTGCAAGCAGCTTATTTTAATTTTCAGGGTAGGGGAGAAGCTTTGAGAACTACGTTTGTGCTCTGACTTCCTCTCAAACTAGCTAGTGAAATTTCAATGTCAGATCGCACCTTGACACAGTAAACCAAGGCCTATCTCACTTCAGAAACAAAGTATTTTAAAACAGTCCCTAAAACAGCATACCATTTAGCAGAAAATGAAATACCTGAGCCCCTTATAAGTCCCATCAAAGGCATCACATTTAGGGCTTCCAGGAAGACTACTGCTTCCTAGGCCTTTAAAAATAAAGTACTTAGCACCTGCTTTATAGGCTGAAGAAAAACGGCAAGTGGCCGAATTACTGACATCATTCATGTTTCTCAGGAGCCCAAGTCCATTAGAGACAGTGGACCTTTCCCAGCTGGTCCTTCCACCAAATGTCCAGACGCTCAGCAGATACATACCTGGCAGTTTGTAACCTTCTTAAAAAGTAGTTAATACTTTGTTTTGATATGCTTTTCTTTTCAACAGGTTCTGTTTAAATTCACTTTGTTTCTAAAATGGAAGTTACTGATTTAGGCGCCATATGCAGCTGGCAAGGAAGGGATTGCTACTTACTGTTCCTTGGGTCACTCACCCTGGACTTGAAGGAGTGATCTCTGCTCTTGTAAAACCCTCACTATGCATTGTATCACTTTCGCTCTGTAATTTACTTTTTGAAAGGAACCTGCTTTGTAAAGGGCCGTTTTCAGCTTATAAGTGGGGCTGGTCTTTACATCAGGGTTCTTAGCTTTGGCACCTTTGACACATGAGGCAGGAGAGCTCTCTGTTGGGAAAGGGGTGCTGTGTGTACTCTAGTTTGTTCAGCAGTATCCTTGGCCACTACCCACTTGGTAGTACTAGCATCCTCCCAGTTGGGACAACAAAAAATGACACCAGGCGTTGACAAATGCCAAGCAAAATCCCCACCATGCCACCCTTGAGAACCAGTTTAAATGACAGCCATTCTTCAGATGCTTCAGTACCTGTGACCCCAAGAACATGACACAGCTTTGACACTGGGGTACTCCGGGTTAAACATTCAGTTCCTAAAGAATGTTATCTATGAGGAATCAAGCTAGAAACAGGAAGATTTAGTATACATGATGTTAATTATTTCTCCTTTTCCTTCACCTTGGGGCTTTCCCTCTCATGTAAAGAACACAGTTTAAAATACAATAAACACTCTGTTCTTCCTTTCATTGTTTCTGTTGACTGGCAAGTGTGGTCTCTTCTGCTGCTCACACATTTAAGTAGAACAATCTCCTTTGTCTTTTAATGTGGATTTGCTCATTGACTTCCTGTATCTGCTTTCAAATAAAATGGTAACCTTTTTTTTTTTTTCAGCAGAAAGCTATCCCTCAAGGTTTACGGATTCCAGTAACATGGCCCTATTATAGTGTAGTCGCAATCATACTGGTTAGGATTAACAGATAAACATACCTCTTAGAGATTATTATTTTCTATAAAGATTCCTACTGAGCAAAAAGCTTGGTGGACAGAGGTTAGGATCTAAAGAATACAGATATAAGAAGGAACCTATATTCTTTAAGTTGAGTACCTACCCTAAACTCAAGTTTAGGGCTCAATCCCACAAATGAGGATCTACTTTAAATACTATCACTAAAAACTACAAATGACACATCATTTTCTTCCTGTTTTTCTCCATGTCCCCCTCACCACCCACCCGTCAGTGACATGGGGAGACTCTACAATCTTTAGGTATTCCAGATGATTTGTTTGTACTAAAAAGAGTGACTATGTACTAAAGTGCTTTATCTCTGAACCACATCAGTACATTATAAAAATTCTTTTTAAAAAAAGAAAAAAAAAAGGTTCAAGTCCTTGTAAGGAAAAAAAAAGATTAAATATAAAAAATTTAGGTTACTATTATTAAACAAATTTAACCAAGAATCAAGAGAAACACTTTCCCTCTTGTCCTTTTCTCCCCCGTCTCTCTGTATAAAAAAGCCAAACGCCGTGGGAGAGGCGCCCGCGCCAGGGCGGGGAGACGGCACAGCTAGTGGTAGTGCACGAACACGTGCCGCAGCAGCTCGTCGGCCGCCGGCCGCAGCTTGGCCTCCGTGAAGATCCGCTTGAGGAAATCCCGGGTGTGGTCCGAGACGTGGGGCGGCAGCTTTGGGTTCGTGGGCTGCGTGGCGATTTTAAAGATGGCGGCCATGGCCTCAAACTCCGCCCATGGAGGCTTTTCGGTCAGCATCTCCACCACCGTGCAGCCCACGCTCCTGAAAGACACGCACGGCGTGTGACGCACGCGTCACACACGCACGCGTCACACACGCACGCGTCACACACGCACGCGTCACACACGCACGCGTCACACACGCACGCGTCACACAGACGTTGCCATCCCGGAAGTAGGCCAGCCCGCTACGGAGTGAGGCGCGGGGGTCAAGGCCACACACATATCAACAGGACTTGATTTCAAGTCTGAAGCTTGATTAAAAGGTTGCAATTAAATAAAACGGTAATTTAAACATATGATCAGTGAAAATAATTCACAATTTAAGGACTGAGGCAAATGGTTAGGCAAAGAACATTACTCACCTTAAAATTTTTGCTTTATACAATTTTCTAGCCTGATATTAAATGATGATTTTTTGTCTTCATCTTACAAAGAACACAAACATTAGAAATTCTCTATTTGCCTTGAGGTGCCTGAAATGAGTATCTACTAAACACTTTCCTGGTTGGGAAGTAGGAAATGGCCATTTTATGTTCTAACTTAAAATAACTAAGCAATTAAAATTAACTGAATTATAAAAGACTGACAATAAAGATTAATTACTTTTAAAGTTCTTCAGGGAAACAAAATGAAGGTAGCTTTCTAATGCTAAAGTTGCTTAAGATTAAATCCTTCCTAAAAGAAGACAGGTTCAAGGCCTCCATGCGGTCAATGACTGAGCCTCGAAGAGGCACAATCAAAATGATATCCTTGTAATCCTGACATCCCATTTCAAAAATACACAAGATGACTTAAATCTGGCTCAGTAAGTTCCATCCTGGGTGGAAATACGTAAGAAGGCAGATGTTTTCAGGCAAACCCAGCACCAGACCTACCAGACATCGGCTTTTCGGCCATAGCCTTCTCCGCTGATCACTTCGGGGCTCATCCAGTACGGCGTGCCTGTGACAGACTTCATTCCCGTCCCCGACAGACAGATGGTTTGAAGCCGTTTGCTAGCCCCAAAGTCTCCTAGCTTGACATTGCCTGTTGAATCTCGCAGAATATTTGCACCTAAAAATAAGAAACATCCTCATTTCACTGTTTTTATTGGCAATTCGGAATATAAAAGAAAATGACAGAATTACTTAGTAGACTCTAATCTGTCTCTAAAATCAGGCCGCTCCTCATCTCCCCAGCAGTGCTTGGCATAATGCAAGGCACACGGTCATGAAGGATTTACCACATGAACACCAAATTTTAAAAGTCAATTGAGTGCTTCAGAACCCAAGAAGGTTCTCCCACTAAGAAGGGCTAGTGTGGGCGGTGGGGTGATGGGGGGAAAGGGGGTGAGGATGAAAAGGAAGAGCAAGGGGTAAAGGGCTAAGAGTGACACTCCAAGGACGCAGGAAGTCAACAGCGGCTGCAGACCGCTTCCCTGCTTGTCAGGAACTTCCTGAGAGGCCTTAATAATTACAATCTAGCACTTTCCCCCAGCCCCATATAACTTAATGTTACTTATTTCACATTTTACAGGTTTCTTAATATTGGGTTTCCCAATTTCTATATATAGTTTAGATTTCTAAACAAGCTTTGAGCTGTTTTGAATTTTCCTTGGCTCCTATAATAAACTTTTAAAATCTTATTTATTATAAACCAACCTTGCCTGCCCAGCTTGAAGAGGTCACCGAGTTCTCCACTGTAAGTTACTCTTCTGCCTTCTCCACACTACATGCTTCAGAAAAAGCCCACTATGCACAGCCCACAATTCAGAAGTGAGAGCTATGCTCCAGGCAGAGCGGCTACATAAATCACCTGCGTGGGAGATCTGTCTCCTCTCTTCTATTTATTAAGTGACCATTCATTTATATCAGTATGAATACATGGATATCTATTTTATACTTTGGGTTATAATCCAATATGACTATTTTTTTGCTCATATTGTTTCAGCTTTGGACATTAGGAGCTCATTCTATTGGCTCCTGTGTCCCCCTGCCATAACCCAGTTGTGCTTTTGTTTGGTTTAGAGGTTTTTTCCTTGATTGGTTGTAGCATTTTCTTACTTACTGGCACCACAAGATGTGCCAGGTTCAACTAGTTGACTTCCCATCCCCGTCCTAGAATCAGCCATTTCTCTAAAGAGCCCTGGCTCCTTTTAGAGGAGAAGTATCAGAAACCAAGGTCTAGGCACTAGGGTCATTTATTTTTTTATTCTCTATTTTCCCCTTATCATTTTTTAAATTTAACCTTTTTTCCAGGATTGTAATTCTAGTTTCTGTCTTATATTTATATTCTCATTTCTAGCTTTTTCTATAAATTACTTGTTTTATTTTTATTTTTTATTTTATTTTGGTATCATTAATCTACAATAACTGAAAGAACATTATGTTTACTAGGTTTCCCCCTTCACCAAATCGCCCTCACATACCCCTTCACAGTCACTGTCCATCTGCATAGTAAGATGCTGTATAATCACCACCTGTCTTCTCTGTGTTGCGCAGCCCTCCCCGTGTCCCCCACGCACTATACATGCTAATCGTAATGCCCCCTTTCTTTTTCCCCACCCTTATCCCTCCCTTCCCACCCATTGTCCCCAGTCCCTTTCCCTTTGGTAACTATTAGTCCATTCTTGGGTTCTGTGATTCTGCTGCTGTTTTGTTCCTTCTATAAACTACTTGTTTTTAAACAAGTTATTAACTTACCTAATTTTAATGTTTAAACTTCAGTTCTTATTTTTAAGTCTTCTATAACCTTAACTAAATTTCATATTTTTAAAATTCCTTTTTTATCCCCAATGGTCCCTAAGAAAGAGAATGAATGGGGGAAGAAAATCTCTAGTACAGACCAAGAAGAATGTAGACCCCCTAAACAAGCACTGCCTATTAACCTCTCCCACTGTCCAATACTTAAAGGACTGTCAAAAAGCCAATGTCTCTAAAGTATTTCACCAGGGGAAGGACAACCAATAAGCAATAAGCTGGGAAGAACAGTCCAGGGCAGGTCATGGACTGGGAGAGCAACCTCTGGGGAGTAGCTGCCAATGCTGAACCAATGCCCACCCATTCGAAGGGCTCAGAAGAAAATGTATAGTCAGGCTCCCCATACAGTTTTCTAATTTTTTAAAACTTCTTATGGATGCACTGAAAGTAAGCTATTAAGGAGACTTGTCAACTATACACAAAAGCAGAGAGAATGGCATACGCATCCATCACCCAGCCCAGCAACCAGGAGGACACTCTTCTCAACCACACTACCAGCCACTCCCTCTTCCACCCTCACACTATGTGAAGCAAGTTAAAGATACGATCAATAAATGGTTCAGTACATATCTTTAAAAGATAGGGACTCTTATCACACCTAAGAGGATGGGCAATAACTCCTTAATATTATTAAATATATACTCAGTTTTCTAAAAAAATCAGAATCCAAGTAAGATCCATACACTGAGACTCACTGATACATCTTTTAAGTCTTCCTAATCTAAAGTTCCCTCCAATATCTTTCTGTCCCTTTGCAATTTATGAAGAATCTAAGCTGTTTACCTGTAGCTTTATTATGGTCTAGATTTTGCTGACCCCATTGCAAGGGGTCATTTAACATGCTCATCTGTCCTATATATATGGTTCTATAATTCTGTAATTCGGTAGCTTAATCTGGAGGTTTAGTCAGATTTAGGTTCATTCTGGGGAGGGCAGCTACTTCATAGATGATCATGTGTTCTACAAACAGGATGTAATGCTAGACTGTCTCTGTTTTAGTGATACCAGCAGCTGTTAGCATTTAGTGCTATGTCTACTAATTCACTGGTGGTTGCAAAGTGGTCTATTCTATCATTCCTTCTTCATTTGTTAGCCAAAATACTTCTATAAAGTTAAGTGTCCTTTCATCCAGCATTTGGTCCTAAATGGTATAATTTGTAAAAAGAAAGGCAGAATAAAGGAACTCTGTAATAGGAAATAATGAGTTTTTATCTTAATCAGTTTTTTTTAGTATGAATTTTTTTTGTTATCATTAATCTACAATTACATGAAGAACATTATGTTTACTAGACTCCCCGCTTTACCAAGCACCCCCCACCCCATTACAGTCACTGTCCATCAGCGTAGTAAGATGCTGTAGAATCACTACTTGTCTTCACTGTGTTGCACAGCCCTCCCCGTGCCCCCCCACATGCTAATTACATGCTAATCATAATACCCCCTTTCTTTTTTCCAGTCCTTATCCCACCCTTCCCACCCATCCTCCCTAGTTATCCTAAGCTTCATTATGAACTCTTGGGTTTAAACTTAAGAGTAATCAACTATCTTTTTCCCATGCTATTTAAAAACTGCTCCTTATAAAAATTTGGAAAATACAGAAAGCAAAAAATATGCAAAAGAAAACAACTATCACTCATCCTGTCATTTGGAAATATCCACTGCTCATCATATGGAAATTTTTCTTCTAGGTCACACTTCAATTTTATAATTTGAGATCATACTGCATATCCAATTTTATATCCTACTTTTCTCTTATGAACATATTTGCCCTATAATGCTTTTAAATCAGTTTGTTTCCAACCTCCTCATTTTACCAGAATGGTTCATCATTCCTGGCCAAGGTTAGAGGAGGATCTACTTGGGGGGACTTCCCCTGAGGTCCTTTACTTTGTCTCATCCCAAGAGCTAAAGCAAAGCTGGCTTGAATAGAGATTATTCCTAACAGACTAATTTGGAACTAATTTCCCTCTGTGGCTCACACTACCAGGCTTTGTACTTGACCCTAAGGTCTGCGTAAGTCAGGTAGATCTGGAGGTAAAAGACAAGCTCCTAGTACTTCTAGATCATGAGCCCCGGCCCCATCCTCTCAGGCTAGTGTAAGCTCCACTCCATAACATCAACTGGGCACAGGTATTCTGCCGCAGATTCAACTCTTTCCCCAGAAACTGGTTAGAAATGTTCTCTTTCCAGGATGTGGCATAGCACAGGAAGGAAGCAAATACCTGGGAGTTCATAAGAAGAACCCTCAGAAAGACCAAAAAAAAAAAAAAACCAACTTCTAATTTATTAAAGTGTATGCATTTATTCTTACTGATTGACTGAATTAAGTGGTCACAGCCCAGTTTTTATAGAATCAGACGTCCAGCTATGCTTTGCAGTAGAAAATTTTAAGCACTCTTAGATCTTACCAGTCTCCACTACTCACTTGTCTCACTTTACACATTTACCTTATGTACCTGGTCCCTGAAAAAAGCTGAGTTTTTGAATTTTAAAAAGTGAGTTTGACTGAGTAGGAGCTCATCACAGCTCAGCCTTCGGCTCTCTTCCCCCCTCTCCTATTTTCTCCCGGGTAGTGACATCCATTCCCATGGCTTTCAGTGTGACTTCAACATGAAGTACGTACCAGCAGAGCCAACTCCCAAGTTTTTCTAGGTACCAGGCAGTTTTAAGCATGTTATATGCACTAACCATTTAATACTGACAAGCATCCTATGAGTTGGATACTATTACCAACCTCCTTAAAAAATGAGTAACTGAGGCATAGACAGATTGTTGTCCAAGATCACAAAGTGAGTGACAAATAAAGCCCAAATTTGAATCAGGATATCTGGTATCAGAGCCTCTACGCTTAACCACTATGTTCTAATGACTATGCTCTCTATGAAAACATGGTCTCATTTTTATGATAATTTTAACTTTATTGATTCTGTGAAACCCCTTAGGAAAGCTACCCATTTGTGGAGACCCAAACATAAAGACTAGTAAGAATATTGACTGAGTCAGTGAGAAAGCAGAATTTTTTTCCTATGGTATTTTAAAGATAGACATATTCATTTAAACGTTAAATTTCTTAACCATATCACTTGTTCCACTCACATTCACAGAAAAAGAACTGTGTACTTAAACAACCTCATTACTTACCTTTGATATCTCTATGAACAATCATATTACTATGCAGATAATGGACGCCCTCCAGAATCTGACGGGTATATTTCCTAGTCACATTCTCAGTAAGAGCTCCATATGCTTTTAACTGGTCCTTAATTGAGCCCTAAATAAAAGAGAACAAGAGAAAACTGATATGGTTCGAAATAAAAACCACTATTACATCTTTATTTTTTAGAGAACCCTAGTCCCTGCTGGGAGGCTTTAGCTGGAGAGCACCGGAATCTCTCAGTAAGGACATTATAGGCCATTCGATCTAAGACAAAGCCCCACTGCTATCCTCCCTGACTAGAACCTTGGAAGTGCATGGGTCACAGCTAAAGGAATCCTTTAAAACTCCTTTTTGACTAGATTCTCTTGTTTCTACGACACAAGAGTTCTATCTCCCACTGCAACCATGTTTTAAAAAATTCTCCGGTACTTTTACCTTCCTTTTATTGCCCTGAATGTATTTTTGTTTTTCCTACTTGCTCTTCTTATCTGTCCTATTTCAATATTATTTTTGTTCTTACTCTGTTTTTAAACCAGGTTTTGATATCTGCTGATTTACTTCTTAGGATAAAGAATGGGTATGAAAAGAAAAACAGAATATGAGATTTTTAAGTTATATACTCAATATTCTAGTTCAAAACAAGAAAATACATAGAAGAGGAATTTCAAATTTTCTTAAAGTGATTTTTAAGGTAGGATGAAGTGCCATCTCTGAAAAATGCTAAAAACTGTCCATAAAAGTAGATTTTTGGATTTTTCAGGTTTGCCCCTCTGCTCTTTCTGCTCTTCATGGGCAATCCCTCAAGAGACAGCGAGATGCAGTTCTGCTGACCCAAGCTTGCAGACACATGTGAGAAAGTGCCCTCAGGAGTAAGTGAACCCTGCCAACTACCCACACCCATAATTCAATGTGGCTCATTTGTTCAGCCTATTTACAGGAACACACAAAGTAAAATTCTGAGCTTTACAAACAATAAGCCCCCCAAATACATATAGGCTGCAAATGAGTGATGACTCAGGGATCTTCTGGGCCCTTGGGCAGTTGGGGCAGTGGCCCACAGCTTCTAGCAGCTCCATCAGCATAGTCTATTTATCCCCGCATCCCAGTAAAATGTTCTCTTCTTCAGTCTGAACCACTGGAACAGGATGGGAAGCACTGTGACAGTGGAAAACCGTTTGTGGTGGGTGAGGGTAAAGAAATTAAATGCTAGTCCAGGTATGGAAAATAAAAGTATGTTACAGTTCTAGTCTAAAAGTAGTTCTAAATAATAAACCAAGGAATGGAATGCTGCATTTGGGAAAACTGAAAAATGGAATGACAATTTTGGCAAAGCTTAAATCTAGGGCATAAAAGAGTTCCTTCATACTAAATTTAATGAAAGAAATTATATAGCATCATTCACAATCTTGGAGATCAGGCAACTCTATGAACGTGTATGTCCAGCCCATATAGGCCATGGGCTTGCCATACATATATTATTTAAATTGTCAATAAACTTTAGTAACATGCTTTTCAAATTCAAGGAACTCCTATACTTTGAAGAGAGCAGCCTTTATAAAACCAAGTGTAAATAATGAGAAACATGATGTAACTCTCTCCCTGAACATCCTGGTTTAGTTTTAAGATTGCTCCATTATAAAGATCACCCATGTCCATTTGTGCTGTAAACCTGTTCTAACCAATTAAACATTTTAATCTTATCTTCAACAATTTAGGTCTCCAATTATTCATAATTATTTCCTATTTTTAATTTAAATATTTATTGCATAACAGTAATAATCTGAACAAAAGAAAAATCACAATCCCAACAAAACAAATTTTCATTTTTCTAAGTGTCTTCTGTCCTTGTCCAAATACAGACTTTTAAAATTATCATAATCATTATTAAAAAGCATTTTATATTATTTATCTCTCTCCTAAGTGCTTCCTTCAACGTTGCTAAATAGCCTTCACATTTTTAATTTTTAACATACATTCTCTTGGACAATGCCATCACAATTTACTTCCATTGTGGGTACTGATACTTCTGTCACAGATAATACTAAGATGAATGTACACAACATTTTTCTTCTTTTAGGTTACTGCTGCAGAATAAATTTCTGTGGAACTACCAGGTCAAAAAGCTTCAATATTTTTATGGCCTTTAATACATCCCACCAATTTTTTTTCCAAGTGGGATTTTAAACATAACCAATTTACACTGTCAATAGAATTTTTAATATAAAGTAGCAATGACAATAATGTCACTATTAACAATAATTCATGACAAAAAGAAACAAAGTTTACTGTTGCTTTTTGAGACTGAGAATGATTAAAGACCTTTACTATCAGATATTGATCTTTAGTTTTATTGATCCATAAGCTCAAACTGCAACTTTGTACATTCTGTGTAATTCTAATATGCTGTTTCCTGAAGACCCAGAAAGCAAGTCTGTTTTTAAAAATATACTGCCTATTCACAAAAGTAAACTCAAAATGGATCAAAGACCTGAATGTAAGTCATGAAACCATAAAACTCTTAGAAGAAAACATAGGCAAAACTCTCTCGAATATAAACATGAGCAACTTTTTCATGAACGTATCTCCCCAGGCTACGGAAACAAAAGCAAAAATGAACAAGTGGGACCATATCAAACTAAAAAGCTGCACAGAAAAGGACACCATCAGTAGAACAAAAAGGCATCTGAAAGTATGGGAGATTATATTCCTAAATGACAGATCTGATAAGGGGTTGACATTCAAAATATATAAAGAGCTCACGCGCCTCAACAAACAAAAAGCAAATAATCTGATTAAAAATGGAAAAAG